TTCATTTTATATTTGATCAGAAAGGTTTAAAATGGAATCCCAGCCCAGTCTAATTGCTAAAGGATCATCAACTGGCTCGGATTATCCGTATATTGTCGCACGATTCTATGAATGTGGTCTCTAGATCCACTTCCTCGGAATAGGGCTAAGTGTGACGAATAATTTTAGGTGTTTGTGTATATTTCTGTAGCTATTAATGGATATGGATACTCAAACTGATGCTTTCCGTTTTCACAGGACCAGAGATATCCGTTTAGGCCATTTATATGACCAATTTTACCTAGACATTTTCCGCCACGCTTTTCGGCAAATTGTTGAACCTTGGCCATTTTATTAACAACACGGATAAAATTAACAGACCTGAAACGAGTATTTTCTTCCAATATACTCTGGGGCGGATACTGAAGTTTTTCTAGATCTACGCGCATCAGCTCTTCAAATACAAATCCCCGCTTTGGAGGATATTCATCGTCATCGTTTTCAAGATAATATAAAACTGGTTCGTTCTTTGTTATCACGATTTTGCGAATTTTATGTAATGAAGGACTCCATACCGGATCCGTAGCTCTTTTCTGATTCTCCACACCTCTTCCCACTCTGCATTAGCAAGCAGGTAACGAACACTATCCCCCTTTTTTAACTTATTTTTCTCGTCCTTTCCAACAGGACGCTTATACTTTGTAGATAACCTAGATTCTACTCGTTCCAGTTTAATAGCTTTTGCTGGAGCTAAACCCCATTTTGATGAACCTGGAGCTCGAATGAGACGTGTCGGATAATTATTAAGATAATCTATTACTTCTGGCAAATACTTAACCCATGCTCTTATTAATTTAGGGTCTGAGGATATACTTTCAACGCTACATTGGATTTTATAAAGCATTTTCGCAACTGTCTTACAGAATCTGTCTACAATTGCTAGACCCCGATGACTATATGCGCCAATCAATCTAATCGTTACATTATGTTCTTCCATTATTTTACTCGTCTCACCCATAAATTCACGCCCTTGGTCGCATTGTAGAAGTGTTGGCCATACAAGTGGATTTGATGGATCATTATAAAATTTTTTGAAGGCTTTGGCAACGTCTGAACTATTTTTCGATGTAAGAGAAACAGCGCATTTAAAACGTGATGCAACGTCTATAATAGTGAGTGCCCATTTATATGTCTTTTTATTAACGATATCATTTGTAAGGCGCAATAAATCACACATATGTACGCAGTTCGGACGTGAAATTTTACCATAACTAACTCGTGAAATATTTTTCGGTGACGGAGCATACTTTTGCCATTCATTCTGGTTATGTAACCATTCACAAACTTTTTTATATGGGAAATTATATCCTTTATCTCTGATATCATTATACAACTTTCGAGGATTGGAATGATAACCAGTGGAACGATAAAAAAACAATTTACATAATGTGAAGAAAAAGGGCCTATCACTTTCGAAGTCAAACCTGATCAAGAGTTAATTATTAAATCCGTCTTAGAGCATTTCACATACTTGAAATTCGGAAATAATTTCAGAGGGATTGATAATTATAATTTTGCATTTGCTCAGCCGTGGAGCTCACCATGCCCTATTTGTGATAGAAAACATGGGAATTATGGAAAACATGGCGAATGGTATATAAATGAAACGGAATATTGTCTTACCTGCAACGCTTCAAGCAATAAACTCAAGTTCGCAATAGTAACACAATTCATAAATCTTATCATTATCATGTATAACGAGCTATTGTATTTACCGTGAAGAATCTTCACGCTTATCACCTGATATGTAATGTGACCATCTCAACTTTTTGGTGTGACAGATATCGGCATTAAGCCAGTTGCGTAACTAATTAACTAATGAGATCAATCTGTGCGACATTCTATTTCTCATATATACCCCCATAACCAGTGCAGTGGTTGCCCATAACCCAAAAAAATTTTCTTTCTCGGATTTAGCAATTGTAATACCAAAATGGATGCACTAACGACTCTTAGAACGGAAATTAATCGTCTTGGTTTCACTCCAAATGAACAAGACAGTTTGCGCAAATACTTTACTGAAAACGTAGAAAAAATAAATGTTGTCGTGTCTTTTCTTCCTGACTACGAGACGGATGATGAGAAGCGGGGTTACTTGAAGTCCTTAATATCCACGCCCGGTATGTTACATTCTCGCCCACACCGTGTCATATTCGCCAATAATACCAAATACTTACTAATCTTGTGCTTTTCTTTCCTGCTTCTTATCGTCAAACCCGCCCAAAAAACACATTTACGTTATCACAGATCAACCCAATGCCGGTAAGTGAGTCGTTAATAAATTTGGTCAACGCGAGTGAACGCGTTTAGGCATAGTCATTCCATTATTCTTGTTTGTGTCGTGTTATAATCTTAATACGGTGACCTTTTCTTATAGTAAGGACTTTGTCTGGATCTGAGGAGAACTTATATATTTTCATCGATGACTCGAATTTATATATTGAAGGGAAATATGTAATCGGTGAACTTGAAAAAATGGGTACGTTTGATTACAAAAGAAGACAATTACGCTTTGATCAACTCCGCATCGATTACGGACAAATCCTCAGAACAATACAAAATCGTCGTACATTGGGAAGTGATCCGATTGTTGTTGGATCCGTTCCACCAGCCGATTCTTTATGGGATCTTGTTCAAGCTGAAGGATTCTATGTGAAAACGTTTCCTCGAAATAATCGAGGCTTTGAAAAAATGGTCGATGTGCAAATCGGACATTACATGAATCAAGTCCTTTTTAACAATGTGCCTGCTATTTTGGCACTCATCACTGGTGATGCTGATTACAAGCCCGTATTGGAGACCGCAGTCTATTTAGGGTGGAAGGTCGAAATTTATTTCTGGAACACAGGTATAAGGCTTCATCATGATTCGTTTGTTTTTTTTGTTCTTTTAAACCATATTTTGAAAAAAGTTTCGTTACGGATATTATTCGCATTATAGCTGATTCACTTAAGCTATTGCGCGAAAAAAATGCTCTAGGACTATCTTCCAAATTATTTGATCCTAATAATAAGAGTAATCTAGCTTTCACATCTCTGAATCCGTACTATAAGATTATTACATACGGATACGGTCCCGAAATATTATATTACGGAGTCAGTAACATGAAAATTCTCCAATTATCTGGTGGAAACATTTCTAATTGGAAAACTAAAGAAATGATGAAGTTTTTTGATGGTACTGGATTATTCGGTTGGTGGTACCGCAAGTGTGATCTAACCTGGCTGTACTTCCAAAGCCCGAGTGATATTCAGAAAGCGGAGAATTATATAAGAAATAAATATTCTCAAATCAAATTTATGCGAATTTAGAAGTTCACCGGTGCCTCGTGAAAAAAATTCTATATTTTATAGGCGGTTCTCGTGTGATCATTTACTAAGATAGTGCTTTCATAAATAATGTATTGGAGCCAATATCTCTAGAAAAATAAAATTATTAACTGCACAGCGCTTTTTAGCTAAATTGCAATTATTTTTTTCGCATCGTAAGAAATGTTTACTGTGCCACAACTCATATGACATTGTGATAGGCTAAAAAAGTATATCTTGTAATTCGCCTGTCGACCAAATCCTCCGGCCATTTTAGAAATACCATGTGCATCGTTAACCACTGCGCCAGATTACTGTGCCAGATTATTGCGAAATTTCTAGATCATGTGAACGGGCTGTGCGACGTAAGATTGGAGTCGCGTTTATAAATATTCCTGTTATATCGGCCATTATTATTTAAATGGCGTAAAAGTTTATTAATTCGATTGGTTTGAGTCAAGAATAATACAATTTGGTGCGAATACAAATTTGGATAAGAACTTTTTTGAACAATTGATATTGTATCGCTGGTAGGCCTTTCGATCAATCGGCATTGTTTAATGTTTCTACGGTTTACGGAACAGTTGGCGTTGGGGGTTGTATACATGCACTAGATTTAAATCTATCTAGCTTTTTGTTTTTCGGGAATGGGTGGCGTATAGGTGCGGGCCTTTTTTTCTGATTACCAAACACTTGGTAGATTCTCTTGAGGTATTGGAGTAGATCTGCGTAAATTAAAATGTAAGTTTACATTTTGACCAATAAAAAGCGTTGGGAAAAGGTCATATGATAAGAGCTGATGTAAGTTGCAAAGAATATAACAATTGGATGCAGTACGAACGAAGAAAATTTCTTAAACAGTAAACCTAAAGATGGCATAGACAAATACTTGAACATACGAGAAATACAATATATAAGTAAATAAATAATTGTACGGTCGAGAAGTGGTTATTTAGAGTACATAAATTATAGTATTATGATACGAAACTCCCCGGTATTTGATAATTCTATTATGTACGTTATTTATAAAGAATAATAAGTGGCGTTTAGATGTTTATTGGGTTGTTGTCCAAATTGGTCCAAGTGTATTGGAAGACTAACCCGATCTACCAGATATAGTAAGTCATAGGGATTTAACAGTCGTATTCGAGATTCTGGAAAAACATTTGTTACGGAAAAACAATACTACATTGAACAAAAAATTTTTTTGTTTTATAAACAACCTTTGTCCGTAAGCTTATGCATAAACTATAAGTATAAGTATAATACAGCAGAGACCGTCAAAGTTACACGCATGGTCAATCCTGTTGTACAGAATCCAGATTTGGAGCAAGAAAATTCCGGCCAGTTTGTGCATAATGTCCAGTCAGAACAAGCCTTAGTGTTGGCCCAGAATCTATAAAAGTCAAAGTGTGCATATTACATAAATTTATATTTTATTTTATTTGTAAATTAAGAACATCTTTTACAGTTCTAAGAACGATGTTTTTGCACGCTCTAATAGACGCTCCATCATCAATGCATCATCTATTATCTCATCCACATCATTTAAGTCATCTTCAGCAACATTTTCACTACTTTCATCAATCGTTTTGTTTTCAACCACTTCTTTCGTCATACTCATCAACATTGCATCGACGTTTTTTTAATCTCGCCTTGAAGATAACCTAGACATATTAAACATTTAGAATCAAGGCTAACAGAAATACACATTTACATTCAGATCCACCGGGATCCACGCGACTTTGAAAGCAGTTTCTTCTCAATTCACGTTTTAGAATTACGCTTGTTACACAACGACTGTTATAATAGAATCTACCTTGCGTATTTGATTCTCTCTCGAAGAATATTCAGTTAGCACCATGCGCAATCAAAGATGGCGACATGCGTCTGCTAGTGCAGCAGCAAAAAGTCTAACAAAAATGGTTAAGTATCTTCCTGAACTATCCTCATTGCTTGACTCTTTAGACAATTACTCTATATGTGAAAGACGTAATAGTCAAAAAGTCTTTTGTGAAACAATTAACTAAACTGGATGATTCAAGGTTTTCAGATTCGGACGAAGTAGAGAGAAAAAGAAGAAAGCTTACTGATAATAACGATGAGATGCTAAGTTCGTGAAAAAGCTTTTTTCGATTTCGGAGTCCAAGTATCTATGCAAGATCCAGTGTATGAAACGCTTTTGAAAAGGAATAGCAAGTTGGAAGGAGTTGTTATTAGAAAATAAAGCACTGAAAAGACTGTTAGATGAAAGACTTGCTGACGAACAAGATCGTGTAAGGTTGGTAATGGAAATTGCGAAAATGGAGCGACGTAATGTATACGACGACATAATGAATTTATTGAAAAATCAAGAGCGATTTGGTTGGATAATTTTTTAGCGTATTCTCTTTCTAAATGACGAACGTTTGCGCTGATTTGGTCTGCTCGGCGACATCCCATTTACCGATTAATCGAAATCGCTTACGAAGAACAACGATTACGATTCAGGCCTAAAATTGACAAGTTGATTGAAGAAAGAATTGTAACTTCACGTTCTGAACTTTCAGATCAACATCAAGGCCATGAAAGAAATCAACGAAACACTGAAATCATTGGTTCCTTCTTACCTTCACAACGGCATTGGGAGGTCGTAGCACGTAATAATACCAAATTTTTGAAACCGCGTTCTAACCTTTTAACATAATAGGATATTCCGAAAATGAAACATACGGCCCTGTCCTAATTTTATTGCTGAATCACGTCGATTTCGGGTTTGAATAAGAAAAAAACAATTGTAAACCCGATCGTGTTTTTCAAAATATAAGCGGAGAATGGAAGAAATAAAAGGTTTGGTGAAATTGCACATGCAAAAAGAATTGATTTAATTAAAGCAAAAATTAATCAAAGAAATATCATTGGACATTTGGCACCCAATCCCAATAATACGTGAAGAAGCAGTTCTGAAAGGTTATTAACGAAATCGCCATTATCAATTCTTTAACCTCTTTATTAAGCGATTCACAACGATCACGTTTTCGAGGCTTATCGGGTAAATCACGCAACGACTTGGTGAATATTCTTCAAGACATTAGAAATATTAATATGGTATCTGTATTTAATGATTAAAGCGACACGTGAATTTCAGATTTATTCTGTAACATAAACCTAGATTTTTTTATTGACATACATAAAAGTGCGATCTGCATTGACCATTCTGACTGCTATAGGCCAATTACTCGAATCGTAACGTTATGGTCTCGCATTAATCTGAAAGTTTCCCATAAACTCTCTGCCTCCATCACATTGTAATAACTCGGACCAGGTAAGAAGAATATTTGGGTCGTTATAAATTTTCCTAAATGTCTTTGCAACTTCCGAACTGTTTTTTGACGTCTACTAGCGATGTCTACAACGTTAAGAACCCATTTAAATATATTTTTACATTCGTAAGACGCAACAGATCACTCTGGTGCACACAGTTCGGACGTGAAATTTTACCGTAACTAACTCTCGGAATATCTTTCGGTGGCGGAGCATATTTTTGCCATTCATTCTGATTTACAAGCAAGCCACTTACCGAACGGAAATTGAAATCCTTCCCATGCAAGATCCTTCCATGGATTAGAGTGGTTTCCTCATCGGGATTTATGCATATGGTATGGTAAGAGTACTCGTTTATATTTGGCTATAACTGTATCGTTTTCGACATTGAGCCATCTATCGGATTTTAATAGAATTTCAGTGACAGAGGACCATCCTATTTGAATTCATTAACCAGCTGTTATTGGTGTCGCGCGCTCGCTGACAGAGTCGTTTTTTCTTGAATGCCGGTAAGACTTTTTCTTTTAGATTTATTTTTGTCAGTCTCGAACGTGGAGACACCTAAATCAAGCATTATAATAAAAACACTATGATAGATTTTCTGCCTACCTTTTCTGCTTTGTTAATGTCATTAAGAATTAATTCTTATGTTAAGTAAACGAACGAGATAAGTAATTTCAGTTGAGCTTAATAAACAAAAAAGGTGATTCAAATTTGCGTATAACGACTGTCGTTATATTAAATATCGGCATACCCCGATACTTTATTAAGATTTGTCCAATAACCAAAAAAGTCGTTATACCGTTATAACGAAAATTTATAATGTCGTTACATCGAATAACTTTCATTATATAGATTTTTGTTCTAGAATTTTTGTCAGTATAACGAGATGTCGTTATATAGTAGTGTCGTTATTTCGAGACTCACTTGTAACAAATTTAGCCGTTTTTATTCAAAAACCGATCAACGAGTTCAATTAACTCGGAATTCGGTTTCCCAATCGCTATGATAGAATAATTGTCTCAGCGGTTTTAATAAATTCGATATGTTAGAATGAGGAATTTTTGAAATTGATTGGTTTTGAGCAATAGCATTATAAAGACTTGGGGCTGCTAGTCTTATTTCGTTAGACTATGAATGAAAAAATTGGGACTGCTGACTTATTTTGTTAGCGTTTGCGCTTTCAACGTTTCTGATACATATTAAAAGCGCATTTGTAAAATTGTCAAACAGTCGAATGAGATTGTTTTAACATTGTATTGAATGAAATGAGACATCGATAAAACAAATTTTAAGCGTGAGTGAGACGTAAAAACTGCATGTCAGAATAACAATCATAAAACGTTGTACTTAGACATTTAAATTCATATAAAATTTTTTCCCTTCAACATAGTCAGAGATCAACTTCACAAACGTTTTTGATAAGTTACATAGGCAACTTTGGATTAAAAATTAATTATTTGGCCCACGATAACTCGTTTGGGTTTTTGTTTCATACCTCAAATGACGATAATATGATCGTTTTGTCTGTGCGAGGCAATCTGATATGTAACTATTGTAAAACGATTGGCCAATCATCGATCGCATTGTATCCTATTAAAGGATAGAGGGATAATAATAATAAATATTATAAGTTATTTAACCGTGGTGAGACTCTATTTGTGCTTGATGCCACAGCTGGTGTTTCAATAGACTATTGG